GGAGAATATCTCTGCTCTAAGTGATGCTGAATTATCACACATATACATCTAATGATAAGGACTCTAGACTTTTTAAGAATCCCACTTCCTCTTACAGCAACAATCATCACGTTTCAGCAAAAGTCCAAGAACAAATAGTCTGGTACATATTAAGGTCAAGAGTCTTTCTTTTTAGAATGCAGAAATTTAAAATAGTTTCATTTTATTTGCCCTTAACCTAGAGTGCACATAATCTCCTTCTGACCAATGCAATGGGAAGGACTGCCTGTGTCATTTGTATTGTCAGGAACTGACGAGAGGCAGCAGCCTTGCACCTGGGGCGGAGTGCTAGAACTATGTGCCAGCCTGACAGCATTGTCTGAAAGACTTGAAACATCTTTTGGTGTTGCAGCCTACTGTACTTCTTAGCCTTTTAGGGGGCTGTCTCTTGCCTATTTTTTCCCCCCTAATAGTGGGGATTGAACCCAAGGCTTTCCTGTTGAGCTACATATACCCCAGCATTTGTGCTCATCAACACAGATCTAACATTTACTTATTAATGTGTCTCTCTCTCCAGCTAGACCCTGACTACAGAGGGCAGGAACTGTGCTTTACTCACTTGCAGGTTTAAGCCTTAATTGGGGACAGATGAACACTGTAAATAAAGCGCTACAAAGTGGGAGCTTACCATTGTACCTTGCTTAAGCTGAAAATACGTTTCTAAAATTTTCTGCTCCTTTTTTGACAATGTCCTGGAAGAATCATGCTCAAAGTGTTGTAAGAAATTAGGAAAAGCAGTAAAGTCACAAGTACTTGGGCTTTTATTCTTTCTCCTGGTAGATTCATCTAGTCAGAATTGAGAAGCTCCCATATCCAACTATTTGGTAATTTTATGGAATGGTAATAGGAGCACTAACTACAGCATTTTATTTATTCTTTGAACACAGCTTATCCACTAACACCTTTCCTAGATTACCCTCTTACAATTCTGTTCTTCCTACCAGGACACACCAGGCTAAAGGGGAGCACTTTCCAGTACTGAAGACGTCTGCAGCATGAGTATATAAACACCAACCAAAGAAATCATACGTCAATCTGTTTTTCATATTCTAGGTACAGTCCACATCTTCCAATCAGATTAAAAGTCAAAATCAGTAAAATAAAAACAAAGCAGCCAGACAATGGGCTACTCTACTTTTAAACCACATGTGTCCCCATGTGTAAATACCAAACAGTTTCTCTAGTGTGAGAAATTGAGAGTGTAAATAAGGACTAAAAGGATTAGTAACTAATAATTGATACTTTGAAATAGGAAAAGGTCCAAAGGGGTAGGGGTGGTGGGAGGGGAAGGGGAAAGGAAAAATTATGAGAAAAGAAAAAAAATGGAAATGAAGTATGTAAATAGGGAAGGGTTGAGGGGTGAAGGGCGCACAGGTAATGGGGAAAAAATAAGAACCAAGATACATCATGTACAGGTACAAACACCCAAAGATAAACCTAAATGTATTGTATACCTAAAATGGACCAATAAAAGAATTTAAGAAAAAATAAATAAATAAACCACGTGTCCCCAGGGGAGTCCTACCACTCTCCACCAGGAACCGCAGGTCTGGAGTGGGCACTTTCATACAGCCCATCTGTGACCTGCAGTTTAATTCTGCATAGGGGCAAAATGCATCTGTCACAAAGATCTTGCCTCCTACACAATTCGATGTGTACCCTTAGGTGACTAAATGAAAACCAAACACCAGGACAAGTGTGCTTACTTACCAATAAAACTGAAACTGCAAAACTGACTAATAAGCTATACAAGTTGCTTAATGAAGCAGAGCCAATTATAACACTAACTATAATAAATAGCTATTATAAGCATCAACACTATGTTCTGTGTTTCTTTTGGGCCACTGGAAGCAAACTGCTTTAAATGCAGAGCTACTATTCTCAGACCTGCTATATGAAAACCAAGTAGGGTAAGCAGTCCAAAACAGCAATGTGTTCCAAATATAGGAAGCCAGGGGAAGAAAACCAGACCATGTTTCCAAGCAACTAAATATGACAACCTCCCCCGTAACCACAAGAACCAGGACATCCCCCATCCCACCCCACCTCTGTATTCACAGCAGCAGTAATGGAAGTCCCTTCAAGGAGTGCTCAGAAATGCTTGCTCTGAGGCATCAGTGGGCCTAGGAAAAATGTCTTATAGCTCCCAGGATTCTCACCTCCCCTGAGATGTCCAAGAAGGGCAAGTGTTGTAGGTGAATAAAGGGCAGCTTCCCCTGGGTCAGCACTTGAACAATGCCACTTGCACTTACTGTGAGCCAATTCAGATTGGCTTTGTTTCCAAGATCTGGAAAGGCTAAGAGTGACTATGTAGGAGGCCATTCAGCTGTCACAAATTCAGGACCAGGAGACAGTGGTCATGAACTGCAGATAACGCACTCCATTAAATACTGCTATTCTTTGAAAATAGATCACCCAGGAATTTCCTTAACAACATTAAAAATGTTGTGAACACTGATGTTAGATTCCACCTTTCCCAAAGGGCTATTCTTAAAAAAGTATATATCCATGAGAACAGAAACAAAAGGAGAAGAGCCACGGCAAGAAACTTTTTTTTTTTTTTTTGAGACAGGGTCTCGCTGTGTAGCTCAGGCTGGCCTCGAATTCACAGCAATCCTCCTGCCTCAGCCTCCCCAGTGCTGGGATTACAGGCATGCACCACAATGCCTGGCTCAAGCAAGAAACTTTCGGAAGTTAGACATATGAAAACTGACTTGGGCCAGAAAAAGATGAATTATAAATTTAAAATGGGAAATACTAAAAAAAAAAATCCAATTTTCACCACAGAACACCGAAAAGACTCAAGAACTAGTAGTACCTGTTTCCATTTGGAAGTGAAGGCACAGGATAGAAGCAAAATACAGGAAAAAGGATCAAATCCTTAAAGTCTGTTTAGATACAAACAAAACCATATGATCATCTCAACAGGTACAGAAAACACCCCAGAGAACCTCTACACCCCTTTGGGATTAAACAGTCAACAAACCAGAGGTATAAAGTAACTTCTATCCCCATGTCCACAGCTGAAGTAAAAGACTGAGCCAGGAACCTGTAATCTCAGCACTCTGGGAAGCTGAGGCAGGAGGATCACAAGTTCGAGACCAGCCTGAGAAATTTAGCAAGATTCAGAATTTTAAAAAATGTGAAGCAGGAGATTCTGAAGCAGAGACTCAGAATTTTAAAAAAAGATCCCAAGTTCAAGTCCCATCTGAATGCTCGGTTACTTAGCAAGATGCCGTCTGAATAAATAAATAAATAAATAAGTATTTTAAAAGAGCTAGGGATGTAGCTCAGTACAAAGCCCTTGTGTTGTGGGGTTTTTTTGGTGCTGGGGATCGAACTCAGGTCCTTGCGCTTGCCCAGCAGGTGGCGAAACCACTGAGCTAAATCCCGGGCCCCAAAGCCCTTGTGTTTAATCTCCAATATTGCATTCGTACACACACACACACACACACACACACACACACACACACACACACACAAATACGTAAGACTGAAAGTTTCTGCTAAGATCGGGAACAAGACAAGAATGCCCATTGTCACAACTGCTAAACAACACTGTCCTTGGAGGTCTTAGCCAAAGCAATTAGTCAATAAATAAATAAATAAATAAATAAATAAATAAATGGCATATAATTGGAAAGGAAGTAGTAAGACTGTCACCATTCTCAGATGTCCTCACATATTAATCCTAAAGAACCCACAAAAAACAATTACTAGAGCTAATAAATTCAGCAAAGTTGCAGGATGCAAGATCAGCACACAAAAACCAAATGTTGCCAAGTATAGTGGCAAACGGCTGTAATCCCAGCACTCTGGGAGGCTGAGGCAGACTAATTTAGCAAGACTCAGAATTTAAAAAGACGTGGGCACCGGGGATGTAGCTCAGGGGCACAGCATCTGTCTGGTAAGCATAAGGTCCTACGTTCGATCCCCAGTTACCCCCCCAAAAAGACATGGGGATGTAGCTCAAAAAACAAAACAACAACAACAAAATTTCAAAAGCATCCCGGTTGTACTTACACACACTAGCAACGAACAACCTGAAATGAAATGAAAATTCTTTTTACAGTAGCATCAGAAGAAATAAAAATCTTAGGAATAAATTTAGCCAAGCAAGTACAAGACTTACACTGAAAACCACAAAAACGTTGTAGAAAGAAATTTTAAAAGGCCTACCTACCAAGCTCAAGGATTAAAAGACTACGTAAATACTGTAATGATGCTAACACTCCCAAAGTGATCTATCATGTTGACTTTTTGTACAGTCATGGAAAAGCCGATCCTTAAATTCAGATTTAACTGTAACGGGTCTCAAATGATAAGAAATAATCTTGGGGGAAAAAAAGTTGGAGGAAACACATCTCCCGATTTCAAAACTTTCCACAAAAATTTGGCCCACGCATAAGGACAGATAACACAGGCTAACAGAACAGAATTCAGGATCAAGAAGTGCAAACAACAGACAAACGCTAGTGACCAGCACAGGTGACGGTCCCGCGTGGCCGGCTGTGAGAGAGTAGGTGGCTCGGTCCTCTCGCTCGCCGGGGCCCCGGTGCCCGCGGCGCGGCACGGCCCCGCCCCACGCGCCCCGCCTTGCGCCCCGCCCGGGCACCTGCGCCCGGGGCAGAACGCGCCCGTGGAGGGGGAGGGGGCCGCGCCTGCGCACCACACCCAGGAACCCGCGACTGGGGGGTTAGGAGACCCAGTATTCAGGGACATCAGTGGAACCCGGCTCGGGGGCGTCTGGGGGATGGAGCACCAAGGGGGCGCCGCTGCCTAGCTTCAGGCAGAACTGCGCGGGCCGTGGACGGTGACCGTTGCCGGCCAAGGATAACCCGCAGCACGGCCCGGTCCCGCCCGCTCGCTGTGAGCGGCATTCTGGGCTTCAGGCACGACTCTGGTCTCCTCAGCCTTTCGCCTGGCCCCCAGCCCGGCCCGCCAGCCAGCCTTTAGCTCACCCGCCTCGCGCGGCTACCCCAGGCCTCGTCCGCGCCTCCAAGGCCGAGACCGGAGAACCCCGCTACGCCAGCCAATCGCGGTCGGGGGCGAGAGCAACTCGGCGTGCACCAATCCCGAGCACTCCACCTTAAAGCTTCGGGCCAATGAGGAGCTACTGTGGGCAGCGGGCGCGGAGGGGCGGGCGCTAGGGAGGGGGCGGGGTCAGCGGCGCGTCACGGGGCAGGGTGAAGCAGACGCCAACCGAGCGGCGTCTGCAGGACGGGTTCGCATCGCCGGGAGGGTCCAGGTCTCCCGGAGGAGTCGCTTGTCGGGGCGGGATCTCACGTTGCGGGAGGGGTGCAGATAGAGGAGTGTCCGCACCTCGGGGGGAGGGGCCTGCTGTGAGGGGTGGGGTCGTGCCTGGGGCGGGGTCACGTGGGTGGGGATGGGTCACGTGGGTGGGGATGGGTCACGTGGGTGGGGATGGG